TAACCGAGGAAGTTAACTTCATCTTTTCCAAAGGCACATTTCTCTAAGTTTATTGTAAGAGAATATTCCTGTAGCCTCTCAAAAACCAATTGAAGATGACGACGGTGCTCATTCATATCAGTCGACATTACCAGGATGTCGTCTATATAAATGAAAACAAAATTAAAATCTTGGAATATGTATTGATAAACCTCTGGAATGTCTGGGCAGCGTTTTTGAGTCCAAATGGCATACGTAGATACTCGAAGAGTCCCCATGGTGTGATAATTGCAGTCTTTTGTATATCCTCTTCATGCATGGGTACTTGGTGGTAAGCTTTTTCTAAATCTATTGTAGAAAATACTTCTTTTTGATGAAGATTATTGAATACATCTTGTATTAATGGTGGAGGATACCTGTCGGGCAGCGTGTTTGCGTTCAGCCTCCTGTAGTCTCCACACATTCTGAATGTGCCATTCTTTTTGGGAACCATGTGAATAGGGCTTGCCCATGGACTGTTGGAAGGCCTCAAAATGCCCCTATTCAGGAGATCTTGTATCTCGGACCTGGCTGCAACAGCCTTTTCTCCGAAGATCTTCCTGAATCTGGAAGCTAATGGTGGACCTGTTGTGGTTATCCTGTGGGCAAAAAGAGATGATTTATTATTGGTGGTTACCTGTGGCTTTGTTATTGCGATGTATTGTGCCAGTAAATCCTTGAAGGGCTCTGCCGGGTTGACAGTGGAGATGTTAACTTGTTGTGCCTTGAGTACCTTTCCATCAGAGGTAAGGCCTGTAGTCGAATCAATCAATCTTCTACCCTTCAAGTCTATTAATAAATTGTAGTTGCCTAGGAAATCAGCTCCTATTATGGCTGTGGCTACATCGGCAACAACAAACTGCCAGCTAAAGCTTCTGCGTAAAGATAAATCCAGCTCCAGAGTTCTCTTTCCATACGTGGATATTCTGCTAGAGTTTGCTGCAAATAGAACTAACTCTTCCTTAGGATGACCATCGGCAAACTTCTGAGCTGGTAAAATGGATATAACTGATCCTGAATCTATAAGAAATTGGATTGCCGTCTTTCTGTCTGATATATGAAGACGGAGCTCAGAGCAGACAGAATTTACTTCACCGTCATGGCAAGCTCCACTTAATGACGGTGAAGTAAGTTTTTTGACTGGTTTAGAGATTTAAGCAGGCAGGGCTCTTCACACTTTGTGGCCTTCTCCCCATATCTGTAATGATAGTAGCAAACCGATCCACGTGAAGGTGTCCTGGACCTATGTCGAGAACCACTTCTAGAACTTGACTGATTGAGTTGTTCACTTCTTGATCTTGACTGGTTGAGTTGTGATTCTTGCTGATCATTTCTCTGTCTTTCAGTGTTCAACATTGCCTTTAGTTCCTTGATTTCCTGGACGCATGACATAAGAAGAGTTTCGTGGCGGTCCAGTCTCTGTTCTACTGAAGACTTGTGTGTTGTGGACATCACATGTGATGTGGGGCTACAGTGATCGACTAAAATATCGGCAACTTCCGCCAGGGCTTCCGGACCAAGATGGCGAGAAACTATTAATTGTGGCCGAATATGGTGTGGCAGGCGTTCTGACCACAATTTAATTATGATGTCTTCACTGACCTCTCCCTTAGCCAAATTCATCATTTCTCGTAGGAGCTGTGATGGTTTCTTCTCTCCTAGAGTTAAGTTTTTTAATAGCTTGTCAATTTGCTTACCTCTAGATTCAGACATTCTGCTTAATATAGTGTTTTTGATATATTCGTATTTGCCTGTCATTGGTGGATTACGGAGGACATCCTGGATGAGGCGCAGTGTCTCGAAGTCTAGGGCTTTGAGTACTGCTGTGTACTTAGTATTGTCACTCCTGATCCTAGCAGACTGAAACTCATGTTCAATAACTAAAAACCATAGGTCTGGAGAATCTCCATTGAATGGAGTGAGACGGTGATTGTTAAATGCTGCTATATTGTATTGATCAGCATAACTGTCATGTTCATGTTCAGAAACACGAGGACTGCTCGTGTTAAAGATCGCCTCGTGATCCAGATCGATCAGAGATCTGTTGAGCGCTGTTTCGTCATTGACGGACGTAGATCGAGTCGACATGTTGATAAAAATTGGTATAATTTACCTTTATTAATTTACTTGTATTTGACAAGTGTTTTCTTTCTCCGTCTGACGTCACCAATTATGGGTACTAAGACGTTGAGAATGTCTCTTGCTTAATGATTTCACTTACACGTTCGGAGTCACCAATTATGGCGCTAGTGGGCCATATATTATTAATTAATTAATTCTTGAATGAAATCGCAATAATTTTATTTCAACTCGATAATGACTGTTTATTAATGTCTCAATTGATAAAGATGTTGATATTACATTAAATCAAATCTAAATTTCGTTCACGAGAAAACGCTCGTTGGCAAAAAACTCGATACAATATTTTCCATCGTTTTAAAAAACGCCCGACAATAATATTCGATCGTATAAAAACAATCAGATCGTTATAGCTTGCTTGATGCCAGATCCGAATCAACGTAGCCCAATATAATTTAGTTTTGTCATCAATTGACGTTATTCAACTGACATCTGTCATATGGTGTTCATTCCGCCATTGTCATCAATTGACGTCCTTCAACTTCATATGGTGTTCATTCCGCCATATATTATATATAAATTCTGCTTTCACTTGTCTTTATAAAAGTTTGTCCATCGAAAGCATCTCGAAAGAA